CGTAATCAAACGATCTCGTGGTACCATTACTTCGGATATTTTTGTGGTTGCATACTTACTTTCCGGGATGAAATCCACATCACGCGATGTTACCAAGCCTAAATTATACAGTGATTAAGAAACTCATTAACAACAAATAGAGCATGGATTGCCTAGCTCGAATTGCAGTGCGTCAAAACCTGCATCAATACATTCATCCAAGTTAGAAAATTAAAAAAAAAATCAAGAAAACGGCTAAAGAGCAATGGTAAGTGAGGAACAAGAGGAGGGAGGAGGGGGCAAAGAGAAAGCAAACGAGAGCAATGAATCCCTATGTGTGCACAGGGAATACCCAGGGCATACCGAGCAGTTTTCCACCAACGCGACCAGTTGATGTAACAGGTGTTCCAGTGAAACCATACTTCTGTTTGATGCGCATCAGATCCAATACCACGTCGGTGTCCTTTACGCACTGAGGATGCGTTATAAATCCTTGTTTGTAACGCTGCAAACTTTTAAAGATTGCCACTAATCCAGTACTGGTAGAACAACATGCCCTCAAAGTTACCACCTTAAGCCTTACAGAATGCAAAATCCCATTTTAGTCAAAAAGCACGAATTTATGACTTCAGTAAATCCAACGCTTCAGAAACAGTAAGAACGAAAGGCAGCGAAAAAAAGGACTAAATTTGAAAACGTGAAGAAAAGAATGAGGAAAAGAAACCTTCACTTTCGTGACCTCCTTAATCTGCTCGTCCAGTGTTGCGAAGTTCGCATGAATGATACCAATGCCGCCATGGAGCTAAAATCAAAGCTTCTGCGAAACAACTACACTTTAGCAACATATGCTTTATGGCATATGTCGCAAACAGGACACAAATTCAATCCCTGCTATACCCAGGAGAAACATTCAACTTATCAAACAAGCAGTCATGCACTTTAAGAGACCTTGGAAACACGGATTTTTGAATTTCTGATTTTTTAGTTTCCTAAATTATTGCTCTTTTTACATACGATGCGACTGACAACAGTTTAGGCGCTGACCAAAGAGAAAAGTATACTGCTAAAAACGCATCTTTTCGAAAAAAAAAAAAAAAAAGGGACGGAAAAGGTAAAGAAAAGGCTGAGTGACAGGGAGAGGAAGGAAGGAGACGAGAGAGAGAGAGACAGAGATGGAGGTATGGTACGAAAGAAAAAGAGGGATTCGCGAGAAAAATTTTTTCCAGGATACTTTCTTGCAGAACGTGTAAACTCACGGCCATAGCGATTGCCATTTCGCTTTCGGTGACCGTATCCATTGGCGATGATACAAGTGGCGTTTTGATGGTGATACCACGCGTTAAATTGGTTGTTAGATCGACCGAAGAAACCGTAAAATCAATGTAACCGGGTAATATGTTAAAGTCACTGAAACAATACACCCTATGGAAACGCATGAAAGCTAACAATGCAGGTACGGGAGAGTAATGAAGAAGATATTACAGATCCACAAAAATGTGAGGAAGGAATAAAGAGGGGAAAAAGTAGAATGTTTGGG